TCGGATTCTGTGTCTCCGTCTCTCTCTGCCCTTCCCCTGCTCACGCTCAGTCTCTCTCTCTTTCTCAAATATAAAACACTAAACAAAATTAAAAAAATAAAAGGTAAATTTTGATGAAAAAAATTGAGCTTTGAAAATATTTCCTATATGAATTGACTTGGGTGGCTTTGCGTGGTCCCTTTGGACAGGTCACGTGAAGCCGGAAGCATGTGCTGTGGGAGGAGCGAGAGCCCTCACACGTTCATCGTCCGTCCGTGTACTGTGGCGTGTTGTGGTTACGTGTGCCCAGCCCGAGGGACTTTCAGATTGTACTGTCGAACTCTCACGAACGGGTGGGCGTCCGAAATACTTCTGCAAAGAAATCGAAGATTGAAGGTCGACTTGATGAGGCAGACGTTCAAGAATCACACAAAAATAGCGCTGTCATTTCTCTTCTTAGCGTGACCTTTTCCAGTGCGTGTGAGTGGGAGAAAACAATGATGAACTAGTCAGACATCTGACAAGATGTCTGACAAAAACCTAGAGATTTTTAAGACTTGGGACATAGGGATATACATTTACATTCATTAGAATGAATCTCATCCCAATTATAAACTGTACCATGAGATATCAGTCATTGATAGAAACACCCCAATTAAATTAGACATTTCAGGACTCTGTGGGGAACCTGAGCACAAACCACGGTCATTTTTCCTCCCTCTTGCTATTTCAGAATCCTGTCAGAAGATTAGATATTCCTCTGGCTATTTTAAAAACGGTTGAAATGATACACAGAAAGTAACTTCAGGATGAACTAAAAGGTGCTTTGCCAGCAAATGCTGTTGGAATATGGATTTTTTCAACGATTGTTGTATTTTAGAGGGTGGGGGGAGGGGCAGAGAGAGAGGGCGAGAGAATCCCAAGCAGGCTCCGTGCTGGCATGGGTGGGTGGCTCGATCTCACGATCGTGACCTGAGCTGAAATCGAGAGTCGGTCGCTTAACCGACTGAGCCACCCGGGCGCCCCTGGAATATGGGTTTTTAAAAAGCCTTTGTTAAGTTTTGGAGAAATGAATATTAGAACAAATTACTTCGTATGGGGAGTCAGCTGTAGAGCTGAATGAAAGTCTTGGTGTTTTTAGGTGTTTCTGTGCTCACGGCATTTGCTAATCCAGGGGATCTGTTGGGTGGGCTGGATGAAGCAGAGGGCCACCCGCCATCTCTCCTGCCACTGCCCTGCAGACGGGCTCTGCGGGGTCTCCGATGGGTGACATCTCTAGTAGAGCCCATGTCCCTTCTTGGCATTGGACCAGTCTCATTTCTGGGCAGTCAACAGCCCAGTGCAAGTAAATGGCCAAACCTCAACCTTGATGAACTCCGTTCCTCTACCTTCCCCTCCCACTGGGACCACAGTGTGTGTGCTGTGTGTGTGCATACACATACACGGGATACACTCGTGTCTTCGTGATTCCTTCAACTTTTGCTCCTACTGTCCTTCCTTACAGCAAGAACCGCCTTTGATACCAGAGATGTTGACTTACAACATGGGAAGTTGGAGCTCAGGGTTGCCTGTTCTGAGCTCAAAATTCATGTGTGGTCGGCAAAACCTCACTCCCCTGATGTTCCCAGTGGGGCCGGCCATGCCACCTTAATGGGTGACATCTACCACCACTCTAAGGTGCTGGAGAGATCCTTCCAGAACCCTTTCTTCCGTCCCCAATAGCGCCAGGTAACCACAGTCATCTGTGTTTTCACGGGAGGCTAGTGAACCTTCCACCCCACTCTACACAAGATAGAAAAAGAGCGGAAGTGAGGCACCCAGTGCCTCCAACAGTCAGTCGCTACCCAAGTTCAATTCACGAGGGGAAAACGTAATTGTGATCATCTGTGCACATATTACCTTCCTGTCTTGTCTTCCTGGAGCTGGGTGCTTGGGACGTCCACTCAATTCATTTCATAATTCACTTCTTTTACACGACTCACATCTGCCTCTCTCCACCGGCACTTCTGCCAAAGACAGTGTGTGCATGGCTGGGGTGGGGGCACACTCCCAGGACTCTTCGGTCTATACCCCCGATTGAGACCGATGTTCAGGAAACGCGGAATTAGGATTCTAACCCTTGTCTATTTCCTTCTCTTTCACCTAGGAGAACCAGGACATCCTGGTGGTCCAGGGAAAGATGGAATGAATGGAGAGAAAGGAGAACGAGGTCAGAAATCGTGTTCCGTTTCACCACCCTCTAATTCTGAGCCGTCAGTGACTTAGGCATTTGGCGCTCACCAAGGACAAGTAGCCGTTGTAGCCTCTGAGGATGATCCAGCAATAAGGACAGCACGGCCCTTGATCTCTAGAAGTTCATGATTCTTTTTCTGTCAAGGGTCAGATAGTGAATAATTTCAGCTTCCCGGGCCATATGGTCACAGCCGTAGCGAAAAGCAGCCATAGATGCGACGTAAGTGGGGCTGTGTTCCGGCGAAACTCCATGAAAACTAAAAGCTGGATTTTACATAATTTTTAAGCATTATTTCTAGGGCAGAATTTTATTTGTGACCACTTAAAAATGCAAACCATTCGTCGCCTGTGGGCCGGATAAAAACAGGCGTGAGGCTGGATTTGGCTCACGGGCCGTAGTTTGCTGAAGCCTGTTTTAGTGGGTGGACGCTGGGGAATGACACTAAAGTTTGACTCCGGGCTTCTGGCAACAGTGCATGAGAAGGTGGCACTGGAATTGGGCCTGGGAGGGTGAAGAGGGCTCTGCCAGTTGTGACTGATGGGGGGAGAGAGAATGGTCTCAAGGGCAAACACTTTGTGCCAGGTTGCTCTGAGTGCTTTTCACGTATCTTTTTTTTTTTTTTTTTATTTAAAATACAATTTTTTTTTAATGTTTATTTCTGAGACAGAGAGAGACAGAGCATGAGGTGGGGAGGGGCAGAGAGAGAGGGAGACAGAATCCAAAGCAGGCTCCAGGCTCTGAGCTGTCAGCACAGAGCCCGACGCGGGCTCGAACTCACGGACTGTGAGATCGTGACCTGAGCCGAAGTCGGACGCTCAACCGACTGAGCCACCCAGGCGCCCCATCTTTTCACGTATCTTTAAGTTTATTTATTTTGAGAGAAAGAGAGGGAGAGAGAGCACGCGTGCACAAGGGGCAAAGAGAGAGGGAGAGTGCAAGAATCCAAGCGGGCCCCCGCACTGTCAGCGCACAGCCTAGTGCGGGGCTCGAACTCCTGAGCCGTGAGATCATCGCCTGAGCCAAAACCAGGAGTCTAACGCTTCACCGACTGAGCCACCCAGGTGCCCCGATTTCCACATATCGACTCGATACAACAGCCTATAAATGAGGTGGTATTATTGTCTCAGTTTTACGGATGAGGCATCAGAGGTATAGGTGGCTGACTGGCTTGTCCCGCTGTGCCTGCGTGGAGGAGACAGGAAGGAGTCTTGGCATTTGGCTCCAGAACCCGTGCTCCTCACCACGGCTCTCCAGTCGGGCTGGAGGAGCCGGGGGGCCCTGAGGGGCCTGTTCGGTCCCGTGAGGGGTTTTTTTAGAAGATGTCACAGAACGAGAGCTGAGTGGCGGGTCACTGGAGGCAGCTTGAGTTCGTCTGCCTTTCCGAAGACCTGTGCCCAAGGGTCGGCCACGTGTAGTGGCCAGAGTCGACTCTGTGGCGGGTAAGGAGCTGGAACTTCTAACGTGGACCCCGACGCCACCATAGCGGACAGGAGTACGAAGGGGTTTTGTGTGCACGCACGCGCGTGTGAGCGGGTGTGGATGCCACGCACGCGCTTTAGGAGTAAAGTAACGTTCGGACCCGGAGCATCTACTGTACTTGCACTGCTTTATCTCCTCCGTGTGCTCGAGAAAAGCCAAAGCTGGCTTTGCAAGGTGACGTGTCGCAAGTCATCTTTTCCTTTATTCTCTCTTTCTCCGCCTAGGAGCAGACGGAAAAGTCGAAGCCAAAGGCATCAAAGGCGATCAAGGCTCCCAGGGACCCCCAGGAAAACACGGGCCCAAGGGATTTGTTGGTCCCATGGGAGAGAAAGGCCTCCAGGGGGAGACTGGCCCTCAAGGGCCAAAGGGGGAGAAAGGCGACGTGGGGCCCACTGGTCCTCAGGGGCTACAGGGCCACACTGGGCCTTCGGGGCCAACTGGTCTACCTGGCCCCATGGGCCCCGTCGGAAAGCCTGGCCCCAAAGGAGATGCTGGGCCCCTCGGGCCCCAGGGGGAGCCGGGAGTCCGGGGGATGAGAGGCTGGAAAGGGGACCGAGGCGAAAAAGGGAAAATCGGCGAGACTCCCGTCTTGCCCAAAAGCGCTTTCACGGTGGGCCTCACGGTACTGAGCAAGTTTCCGGCTTCAGATGCGCCCATTAAATTTGATAAGATCCTGTACAACGAATTCAATCACTACGATGTAGCCACAGGGAAATTCACTTGCCACGTTGCCGGGGTCTATTACTTCACCTACCACATCACTGTCTTCTCCAGGAACGTTCAGGTAGCTTTGGTCAAAAATGGGGTAAAAATCCTGCACACCAAGGACGGCTACATGAGCTCGGAGGACCAGGCGTCCGGAGGCATCGTGCTGCCCCTGAAGCTGGGGGACGAGGTGTGGATGCAGGTGGCAGGAGGGGAGAGGTTTAACGGCTTGTTTGCGGATGAGGACGATGACACAACTTTCACGGGCTTCCTTCTGTTCAGCCAGTGACGGGGAGGCGGTTAGACTCTGCTCACCACCCATTGGAGACGGCTTCGTGAAAATGCTGTCCGATGATTCTACTCTACGAAGCACCCTCATTACTGTAATCATCACAGAGCGGCACCCAGGTGCTCGTGTCGGGGCGCCCGGCTGGCTCAGCTGGGGGGGGGGCCTTGCAGCTCTCGATCTTGGGGTTGTGAGTTCAAGCCCCGTGTTGGGTGTAGGGATTACTTAAGAATAAAATCTTCAAAAGATGCCTGCATCATCTATTATAATTCATTTATGAGTTTTCATCGTTCCCCTTATCTGGAGAATCCTTTGCACGCGTGTTTCTCATGGGACCAGTGTTCTGATAACGCGAGTTAGTTCTTGAAGGAGCCGCATCAGGACTTACCCCTCATCTGAATTTCTGGGGACACCGGGAAGCGTCCAAGCAGTCATTCCATGTCGTAGCTAACACAGGGCGTAAGCTGGTGACGGGTCATTCCAGAAAGCTGTGGAACACTTTGCTCATTTGGTAGCTTGGGTTTTAATCGCCATTTAGGTCAACAAATAGTTGTTTATGAAACCAGTTGCCAGGCTCGAATTTGTACTGGTTTCCTGGGATTATTGTCACAACGCACCACAAACGGGGGAGCTGAAAACCACAGAAAGTAACTGTCTCACGATGCTGGAGGCTAGGAGTCTAAATCAAGGTATCAGCAGAGCCAGTATCCCTGAAGCCCCTGAGGAAGGTTCTACCTGGCTCCTTCCAGCTTCTGGCAGACCCAGACTTTCCCCGACTTGTGGAAGCCTCCAAGCTCTGCCCCCATCCTCACCTGGCCGGCCTTCCTCTATGTCTGCCTGTGCGCAAACCTCCCTTTTCTGATAAGGACACCAGTCATTTGGATTAGGGGCCACCCTAATCTAATATGACCTCCTCTTAACCTGAGTACACCCACAGAGACCCTGTTTCCAAGTAAGGTCACGTTCACAGATACCAAGGGTTAGGACTTCAGCGTATCTGTTTGGGAGACACGATCCAACGTATTATAGGCTGCTCTGGTCCTCCAAAATTCCTGACCTTCCCCAATGCCAAATACACTCACCGCATCCCAACATCCCCCAAAGTCTTAACAGTGTCAGCATCCATGCTAACTCTAAATCTCATCTAAAAATCGCCAGCTCAAAGTCCCCAATCGCATCATCTTACTCCTTTAAGTCAGTTATAAGTAAGAGCTAATGCGTGGATCATCCTGGGGCAAAATCCCTCTGCCTCTGTGAACCTGTGAAACCAGACACATCATTTGCTTCCAAAATACAATGGTGGGAAAGGCACAGGATAGACAGTCCCATTCCAAAAGGGAGAAAAAAAGAGATCACAGGTCTCAAACAAGTTCAAAACACAGCAGGGTGAATTCCTTTTGATTTTTTTCACTATTTACCTTATAAAATTGTTTTAACATTTATTTTTGAGAGACACAGAGCATGAGTGGGGGAGGGGCAGAGACAGAGGGAGACACAGAATCCGAAGCAGGCTCCAGGCTCGGAGCTGTCAGCACAGAGCCCGATGCGTGGCTCGAACTCACAAACCGTGAGATCATGACCCGAGCCGAAATTGGACGCTTAACCAACGAAGCCACCCAGGCGCCCCATTACCTTATAAAAACTTTAAAGGAGCTATGCAAAAGGAAAATGTTCCTGGACAGAGACGCTAAACAGCTACAGTGGAAAGCGGAGGATGCAGGTGAATTTACTAAGAAAACGAGGTAAGGAGAAACTTGCGTTTTAGGCCACAGTGGCTATTCTTGTTCAGATGGGCACCTCTGCCTCCCTCTTGTCTGGTCCTGATGTGTACCCTCAGACAAGTCTTTCAAAGGGTGTAGACTCTACACTCTGGGTAGACATGGGATTCAGGCCTATTTAGTAAGAATAGTACCTTCGGGCCACGGTGACTATTTCCAAAATGGTGCCCGATCCCATCAGACCCAATGGCATGCAATCTGCAACTTTGGAAGGCCTGTTGGGGGGGTGGGGAAGGGCAAGATCTTCAGGTGACGTCAGGACTTTACTTGGCAGCCATTTAGTTCATCTGTAGAGCCTGAAAACAAAGCCAAACAGGGCTGGAGATGAGCCAGTTCTGATGACATTGTTAAGACCCCTAAAGCCAGCTGTCCCTGAAGGCAGAGATACCTCTGGACTAGGTTGTTGCGTGAGCCACCGGATTCTCGGTTTCAGCCAGTGCGACGCAGGTCTTTTGTTGTTAGTGCCATTGTTACCACGGCTTGTGTCTAAAAGAACGTTGAGGAGTCTATGACCTAAGGAGGGGGGCAGCGTGATTATAGCGGAAAAAGCCCAAGACGAAGAATCGAGACGTACGGGCTGTCGTTCCAGCCTTGGCCAAGGAACCTGCAGTGGGTACGTCATTCAGCTCTTCTGTGCTCCAGTCTCCTATGGGTACAGCAGTGGTTGACTGAAATCATTTTACACGGTCCCGAGCCTCTAATATTCTGCAAGTATTACATAGCCCTCAGTTAACTCCATATACTTTTTTTTTTTTTTAAGTTTATTTGTTTATTTTGAGAGAGAAAGTGCGAGCAGGGGAGGGGCAGAGACAGGGAGACAGAGGATCTGAAGCACGGTCCACGCTGACGGCAGAGAGCCCGGCACGGGGCTCCAACTCACGAACCCTGAGATCATGACCTGAGCCGAGGTCGGACGCTTGACCGACTTGAGCCACCCAGGCGCCCCTCGTATACTTTTCCATGAGTTTGAGAGCAACTGATAAAGGAGCAAAAGGATGGAAGTCCAGTGCACATTCAAGCCACGCTATTTCCCAAATCGCAGCCTGGGACCAGTTTATCTGACAGGATGGGCCACTAGAAATTGGGACTTGGGGCCATTCTATCCATGCTCCAAGTCAAGACACTTGGGACGACGTCTTCATTCCCTGGGGAAAGTGGGGCTTTTTTCTAAATGATCATTACAAGCAGGCAGCAGTCTGTAAAAATGAAGAATTGAAAGACTGCTCGGTGCTTATGGAAAATCTGGGAAATGTACAGAAATAACTTCTGTTTATAGGTATTTGATTGGCCTTCCTTATTTCTTCTAGAACAGAGCCAGGACTGGGGTGAAGCAAGTGAGGGGCCCTGGGTACAGAATCGAAGGAGGGGCTCACCTTCAGGTGCTGCCGCTGGATGCACTTGACCCTGAGTGTGAGTGTCTCCTTCAGTTTTGCACTGTGGCCCCTGTACCCACCTTTGCTGTCCTCCTTCCCCTCAGCTACCGCGGGACTGATCACTTTATTTATTGAGCCAGAGTGTCCTTATTCTTTGGCTTTTTTTAATGTTTATTTTTGAGAGTGAGAGAGAGAGAGAGAGCAAGCAGGGGAGGGGCAGAGAGACGGGAGGACAGGGGATCCCAAGCGAGCTCTGGGCTGACAGCCGTGAGCCCAATGTGGGGCTCAAACTCACGAACCGTCAGATCATGACCTGAGCTGAAATCGGACACTCAACTGACTGAGCCCAGGATCCCCTCTCTGGCTTTTTTCGATTGTAGTAATCTAAGCGGTTTCTCCCCGAAGTCTGGTTTTGTTAGGGTTGAATCGGGAGGCGACCTGTGCTGAGTTATTCAGGAACCCAACTTTATA